ACACACACACAAATATATATTCTTACACACATACATATTACAAAATTTAAATATAGTAAATATATTCGGTAACACTTTACTTGAAGGGGTGTGCATAAGACTAACATGACACCTTCATAATCATGACATGACACATGTTATGAATATGAAGGAAGTTGTATGCATGTTTATGACAACTGTCATTAAGTGTCATTCGCTCAATAATGACATTTTTAATGCAAATATGACATTGTTTGAGATGTCTTTGTTATGACACCTTGACATAAACCAATACATCATAACCTGTCAGTGTCTTTGTCATGACAACTTGACATTACTAAGACAACACAACCTGTCATAAACATGACATAGCAGATTAATTATCAAACTTAAGAAACCACTTAGCTTTATTGGTTAACATTACATTAAACTGTCAGGTGGTTGGTTTTGACATTGGCTGTCATGAAGCCATTATAACTGTTTAATGACAAATTCAATTTGTACCACTGTAGTTGAGGTCACGAAAAATATTCATGACACAGTTATAATGGCCTCATGACAGCCAGTGTCAAAACCAACCATGACAGTTTAACTTAATTTAATGTCAAGTTGTCATGACAAAGACACTGACAGGTTATGATGTTATGGTTTATGTCAAGGTGTCATAACAAAGACATCTTAAACAATGTCATATTTGCATTCAAAATGTCATTATTGAGCGAAAGACACTTATTGACAGTTGTCATAAACATGCATAAACCCTACTTCATATTCATGACATATGTCATGTCATGGTTATGAAGGTGTCATGTCAGTCTTATGTACACCCCTTCAAGTAAAGTGTTACCATATATTCAATTAAATATATTATTTAATTATTAGATAAATATATTAAAAGAGAATGAAAATATATTTAATATATTTATATTTAAAGGAAAAAAATATAAAATATTATAAACAAATATAAAATATATAAAATAACATTGTTATGTATCAATAGATATTTTCTGTTGCAATCTGAGATTTATACATGGGCATAAAATTATCATCTTAATTTAGGATGGAATAGCCATTTAAACAGGTTTAAGTCAATGCTAATTCAATGTTCCTTCCAAAATCATTAGTGTTTCTATAGTGTTAATATCTTAATATTCCACTTCACAAAAACATCAATAATATTATACTTTGTACAGTATAATAACAAAACTATGTTCACTCCTGCCTTATTACCCTTTAAAAACTAGCTTAGCCAGTTTGGCATTTTGTAATTTGCTTCCTGTCCTGCTGGATGGCAGTAATGTGATTTGTGTTGGCTACCACTTACATTTTGGTTTGGAAAGTGTCTGCAAAGTATTTAATTTTAATATAATTGGGTCCCTCAACAGGAAAAACAAAAACTAGCAATGCTCAGCAATGTTTTAGTTGAGCTAGCCATCGCTACATTATGCCCCATGTAGGCTCAAGTATGTTGTCAAAACATTGTTGTTGTGAAAAGGAAATTTTAATGCTTGTTTTTGGTAAGTTAATACAACAAATATCAGATTTTATAATGTCGTTAGCATGTCCTTTTGCAATGTTTTACGAACCCCATCCAACCTGGTGCTGTTTACTGCGTGTCTTTCAAAGCAAAGTGTTCAAATAAAAGTATGGTATGGTGTTAATGAAAGAAAATGAGTGACTGAGATTAAAAATAAGGCTTCAGTGTTCTGTCATAATAATTTACCATTGCCAATGATGTCAAGGCTATATGAATTAAAGCTATATGACTTCTGTAAATACTATCAACAACTTTCATATTATCAGCATTCTAGTTTAGATGTGTTTTTCTGTGATTGCACCCAAAATGCAACATTGTGAAAACGTTCCTGCTGGCCTTCTACTGTATGATAACAGTAATAGTCATTAATTTTAGTCAGCCGGGCTTAAAATAGGAAATAGAAAGCTATAAACTTTGATCAGTCGTGTTACGTGACTGAATAACATATATGCCTGTCCTCTGCATGTTTAATAGTAACACTCAGCTGATGAAGCTTATCAACCAACATTATATTGCTGATGAAGCTGGTTTATGCTAGCTAAACAGACCGTTTTTAGTCGCTAGTTTCTTTCAACAGGGATGAAACCGTGACCCCATGATGAAACAAACTCAGAGATCAATACAAAATGATGACATCAGGATATAAATCCCCTTTTATTGATAAGAATAATCGTATTGTGGGTATACACACATCCAGCTAAGCGCATAAAGAATAAAAACTGGAATTAGGTTTAGCTAGACCGTATGAGCCTTGTTAAAATGATTACATTACATATTAGACTGCTCAATGACGTCATAGTTTCATATTCATATTTGAGATGTCCTCTAAGTGACTTAGAGACATTTAACATTCTGACATCGATCTTTTTTGAGTTTTCGTGACCGAAATGTATAACACCATCAAACTGAAACAAAGACATTGAAGCATCACCCAAGCAGACGGTACTATATTACAAAAAACATCAAACTGTAAATCTACAAAAAATCAACAATGGGCGTTAAGAAACAAGCCACTCGAAACAAACCAGATAGAAACAAGCATCTTTTTTTTCCTAAAGATTATAACCAACCCCAACCCATCATACAGGTAAACATTCCATTGAGCACACCTGCGCATGTAGAAACTGCTCATGCAAAACTAAAGAAGTCATTTTACAAGAATTCACCAGCACAGAGACTAATTCGGAGTAAGATTGTACCTGAACCATCTGCTAACAAAACTGGAGTTGGTGAATCATAGCAGCCATGATGTAGCTGACATCCATTTACAAGCACAACAAAGTGTGTATCGGTATAGCCTGAATGGTGATATTCTCACCAGAGAAGGTTTAAAGTCAACATGAAAGGATGTTCGCATGTGATTAACAGGATATTCAATGAGAAAAGAATGTTGGACAAGACTTGACTTTATCCATCAGGAATTGATTGCATTGTGAAAATGACTAAAATGATGGATATGCTCAATGGCTCACATATTATTGTAGAATGTAAAAAAAAAAAAAAGTAATTAAGTGCAATCAACTTGGATGTTTAAGTCATTTCAACTTAAATTACATTAAACTGACTTAAAAAAAAGTTGAATCTTGTAAAACTTGTAAAAAAGCTGAAAATTGCTTAACTTATTTTGATGAGTTAAAGCAATGTTGTCATAACGTTTTTTACGGTGTAGCAGAATATAGACTTTACCATTAAAATGTTGTAAGTAAATAATGAAATATCAGCTTGGATGTTTAAGTCATTTCAACTTAAATTACATTAAACTGACTTAAAAAAAGTTGAATCTTGTAAAACTTATAAAAAAGCTGAAAATTGCTTAACTTATTTTGATGAGTTAAAGCAATGTAAAATATATGTTGTCATAACTTTTTTTACGGTGTAGCAGAATACAGACTTTAGCCATTAAAATGTTATAAGTAAATAATGAAATATCAACTTGGATGTTTAAGTCATTTCAACTTAAATTAAATTAAACTGACTTAAAAAAAGTTGAATCTTGTAAAACTTGTAAAAAAGCTGAAAATTGCTTAACTTATTTTGATGAGTTAAAGCAATGTAAACTATATGTTGTCATAACTTTTTTTTACGGTGTAGCAGAATACAGACTTTAGCCATTAAAATGTTATAAGTAAATAATGAAATATATTATAATAGTATTATAATGAAATAAGCACAAATATCAGGACATGTCAAAACATCTCCAGGGCCCAAAACCCCCCTAGACCCCTTTCAGGTTAAGAAAGTGTGATATGAAAGTAAAGGGGGTGAATTTTGAATTCATGTTGACTTTAATAGCACGCTTTGGTCTGTTCTCAGGTGCTACATACACGTAGGTCGTTAAAAAATATCATGATATGGTCCACATCGAGAGAACTTAATCGCAGAGGAGTTCTAAAATCTCACGAGAGTCCTTTAAACGACAACAGAGCTTTCAACAGTCAGCGCCTTCAGCCAATCACGTTTTGTTTCTGGATTATCTAAAGAAATGAGCTCTGCAAAGCACACAAGTTGGACTTATGATATTGCACAGACTGGGTGCCGACCGAGTTAGTTTTCCGAGTGAAGCACCATCGGTTTTCCTGCACACACACTCAGTTTATGAGGAAAGGGTTGGGTATTCCACGTGGGCTACTAGTCCGTAACTAAATCCCGATGCTCTCCATATTTCAGTGTGCAGAAAAACATGGACAAATGTCTTTTTTTAGTGCTACTGGAAAAAAATCTGACCGGACACTGTCCTAAAATGAAAAGTTTTTTGTAAAAAAAGAAAGGCGTGGCTTTATTTCATTTTTTGGCATCTGTTCATCATTTTGTGTTTTATTTTCCATTCACATGTCTATTGTTCTTTTAAATGGTTCAGTTTTCATTCAGCATGGCATTTTTTCACTGCAAAAATATTTTCTACTTGGTATTTTTGTCTTGTCTTGATTTCAAATATCTAAACATTCTTACTTCAAGATACTTTTACTTAAGATGCAAAATGACACGAAGTGATAAGATGATGATAAGAAATGATAAGAAGTCTTGTTTTCTGACAAAATGACCAAAATGAAGTGAGTTTATGCTTAAAACAAGAGCAAAAATCTTCCAGTGAGGTCAGAAAAATAAAAACTTATGTGCATTAATTTTCATCTGGAAGATGTCATTTTTAGTGTTTGCTCAGTTTGACTATGTCTCCTAAAACATTCCCTGTCGGATTTTAACTCGACATGCAGCAGGTGTTTTTGAGTACATAAATCAATTTTTTTTACGATGTTCCTCTGGGTTATGAATCATTTTGAATTGAATTTGAATTAAATTAAACTTAATTCAAAGGGAAAAGAAGTTTATTTTTCTTACCCCATTGGCTGATGTTTTCAGTGAAAACTTATTTTTTTTACACTTTATCTTCCAGTGTCATTTTGAATCTAAATGTATCTTGTATTAAGAGTGTTTAGATAATTATACTGAAAAACAAGACAAAAATACTGAGGAAGAACATCTTTCCTTTCTTTTCTTTTTTTTCTTTTTTTTTTTGCAGTGTTGTAACAATCTGTTGAAGAACATTCAAAAAGGATTGTTTTGGGTTCAGTTTTCTGTTCCTTTCAGATTCTCCAAACTAAATTCTCCATGGTTACAGCTGCTCCGAGCGGATGACATGGAAAAGAGTAACGTTGTACAGGACCTGATGTCCGTTATTCCAGGCGTATAGCGCTCGATCTCGTGGGTTGTAGTCCAGCATGGAGATATGCGAGTACTTGTTCTGCAGAACGATATCGATGTACTCGTACGTTGAGGAGTTGGTGTGGTAGGCGTAGTAGACTTTGGTCCCTCCTGAGTAGCCGTTGGTCACGTACAGCGTCCCGCAAATCATAAAGGACTCCCCGGCACTGCGCCTCGGGTGATTGGTTGTCCAGGACTGGATGATGTGCAGGGTCAGGGGGTGGAGCTTGCTGATGACGATGTTCCCCGCGTTCTGATTGGTGGCGTACACGGCCCAGAGCCCGCCCTCGTCCACCATGAGGTCGATGTCGGAGTGTCCTCCCCAGGCGTAATGGTAGGTGTTGCTGTAGCCTGCGTTGTCCAGACGCTGAGACCTACTAATGGTGGAGGTCTTGAAGTCAAACTTGATGATCATGTTACTCTGGAACTTGTTAAAATAGATGGAACCGTTGTAGACCACCTGACCCGTCCCGGACCAAGGGTGCGGGAGCCGGTGGGACGTGAAGTTATCCGACGTCATGAAGTCGACCATAGACCTGTACTCCCGCACGAAGCGGTTGTTGTGGTAACCGTCCATGTACCACACCTGAACAGAAGCGAGAGAGAAAGTGATTCATTTATATAATTCACTTACAACACAAGCAGTTGAGTTAATGAGACACATCCCTGATAGAACAAGTATGCTGGCCAGGTGTGCATTAATTTTCATCAGGAAGATGTCATTTTTAGTGTTTGCTCATCTGGACTATGTCTCCTAAAACATTCCCTGTCGGATGTTAGCACGACATGCAGCAGATGTTTTTGAGTCAGAATGTACGTGGATCTAACGTTTTTACGATGTTCCTCAGGGTTGTGAATCATTTTGAACTAAATTTGAATTAAATATGAGATGGTAAACAGGAACTACGGATCTGAATGCCTATCAAGACACACTTTGAATGTTGGCTTGACAAAGTCTTGTTTGAAAGTGTTGTTGCTTAAAAATCCTTTAAGTTTGATGGGTGGGTGGGTGGGTGGGTGGGTAGATTGATGGATGGATGAATGGATGGATGGATGGATGGATGGATGGATGGATGGATGCAGACAGACAGAAGATAGATGGATGGATGGATGGATAGATGGATAGATAGATAGATAGATAGATAGATAGATAGATAGATAGATAGATAGATAGATAGATAGATAGATAGATAGATAGATAGATAGATAGATAGATAGATAGATAGATAGATAGATAGATAGATAGATAGATAGATCTGATACGGTAACAAACGGGTAGACTAGTTAGTCATCTTTCTCTGACTGGGAGTCATAAACATATCCTTATATTGCCTGATGTTGTCCAGCCAAACAATTTAAATGTATCTTTACCTAGCATTAGTAATAAATAGTTACAAAGCTTGGTCTAACAGCATATAAAATGGTCAAAATTCTGGCTTGACATTCACAGAATCAAAATTCAAGTATAGTTTAATCTACAGTCTATTTAATCGAAGTGGGTCAAGTTGTGCTTGCATTGGATTTTTTTTTTTTGTTCTGGCATAATTCGCCAGCACAGCAGGACGTGTTCAGCGAGGTCTTAATTAAATTCCAGACTGAAGGTGTCCATCCTTCCCCTGGCTGTGGCAGAACGCAGGCGGTGAAAATTGACAGCCAGGAAGTTGCTGTGTGCCAGGCATTACGAACCCTATGGGGATAATTCCAGATCATTCCGGATAAAAGCCGACTCTCCGTGGAGAATTCCCAGCATGACTGGGGCTTCTGTCTCTTGGTGAGCGAATGGAAAGGGAGCAGTCACGCTTATGGAATATTCCAGAGCCCCGTGGCCCAGCGGGACGTCTGTATGCTCTCTATAGGAGGCACGAGGCAGTCAACAACATCTACTGTATAAATCAACATACATTCTGCATGTTGGAACATACTGCAAACCCTTTCTTTTGAAATCCAGCCGCAGTTGTTCAATGTATTACTGCATTAGTAATATTTGATTAGATTTTATTGTTTTAACAACATTTTTCACAATATAAACTGTTCCAAAGCTTTACAAAGAACATACTCTCTGTGAGCGAGTCCTGGGCAGAAGTGGAAATTATAAACCCCCAAGATAGACTTAAGAGTGGAAAGAAACAGCTGAGGATGTTCATCCTTTGGCTAACACCAAAATAACACCATAAAACATATTTTTTACAGGTATAAAATGCTCTGCCAGCTGTGAACTAGAATCAGAGGTCTCTTTTCCGCTCCGAGCCCAACAGAACTTGTAAACAGATTTTTGGGCAAGGTTCTGCTCAGTTTCCCATGTAAAACTTTAGGTTTGGATGTAGTTGGCAATGGGTGAGAAACACAAGGAATATTATTAGTTATTTCTGTTTATCAATTCGGTCAGGTTTTCTGTATTTATATGTGCTGCTATATAAATAAATTTACTAACTCACAGTTAATAGTTATATTTATTGGAGATTAAGGTTGGGTGTCCTTTGAATTTTGACGATTCCGATTCTGTGTATCGATTCCTAATTTTGATTCCAATAAGGTTAAAAAAAACACATTTATTTTAAGTCTTATTGCAAAACATTTCATTGTAGCTGAATACCATGAACACAATTCAACAGGCTAAAGAACACTTACACAAGGAACTTTTGCCTATGGTTAAAAAATATCATAGCAATAACAACTAGTCTAACTAATATACATTTCAAGCATTATTGAAGATAAGTAAACACTCAGTAATTAAAAAATAACAAAAAAAAATAAATAGCATTGTCTTTTGTTTGATTAATGTTATGATAGAGACAGCAGCAGGAATATTAGGCTGCTGTCACTTTAAGAGCTGTACAGATCCAATATACTGTTACACATGTTTTCTTTCTCAACTTATGTTCACTAAAGCCTAGTTCACACTACATGATTTTAAAACGTCGGGCTGAACTGTGCGGTTCACACTACATGACTTGCTCTCTGTGAAATCAGGAGTGTTCAAGTTGTTGAGCTGTTCACACCACACGACACGACGTGATTGATCCGCAACAGGAGGTAACGCACTACACGAGTTGACAACAACTCTGTCACCCAACGATTCTATCTTGTCTACAAACCACGTTTTGTCACGAAGAATCACGCGATAAAACAAACCGGAAATGACGCGAAACAGCACGCGCGCCAATACCCAGCGAAGAAGACGAAGAAGAACACAACACGCGAATATGGACGTCAGACAGAAACTAGTGCTGCAAACCTGCCACAGTTCGATTAAATTTTGCTCCAAATCCTGAGTCCATTGCTTTCTTGACGACATGTTGCTCATCTTTCTGTAAACTCGTCTTCTTCCGTGTTTCTTTGAAAATCGCGTATTTACCCGGTGACCTCAATCCACGCCTTGCTCTGATTGGCTGTAGCTCATGACATCACGTGAGCTTGAGTCGTGCGACAGCTCTGGATATCTAGCATGCTAGATATTTTTCTGGGCTCGGCGAGGCGTCTGCGAGCGTCTTTGATGCGTTGTTGGCTCTTTCATACTTACAGATTGGCGAGCGTTCATCGCCCGCTAATCCCCCGCGATTTGCACGCGATAACACCCTGACCTGTGGCGAGCTCAACGATTTGCAAATCGGGCTTAAAATCATGTAGTGTGACCTAGGCTTTAAAGGCACACTATGCAGGAATTCCGTTTTTGTCAAACAGCGTCCCCTAGAGTCGCTGTGGAGTACTTGTATTTAACGTTACTGTCGTAAACACCACTCACACAGAGCGTCTCTGCCATAGACTGGTCTCTGCACTCACGGCCTGATACCCCTTTGAAGCTGTTATATTAAGGTACAAATCTTGCATAGTGTGCATTTTTTGCATTAAATAAGAGATCTAGCGCTAAAATGTGTTTTTGAACTCAAGCTGAGCGCTCGTGTCCCCTGCTATCAGTGTCATGGATACAGTGTTCTCTGTGGCGTGCAGTCTTCACTCGGACGCGCTCTTCAATCTATCGCCGTTGCGGAGACTCTCTATTCATTCCGGTGAAATCACAAAATAAAATGCACAAAAACGTGTCCCTGCTTGATATATACTGTAACCACTGATGAACATATTCAGTTTTGATGAGAGAGAAAAAACTTAGAACCTGTAACCTCTGACACGCTTGGCAAAAGATTTACCACTAGACCATTAAAGAACTCAAACAAAACTTGCGGATTGATGCTTTTTTTTACGGGTTGAGCAGAGAGGCTCATTCTCTTTTCCTTTTCCTAGTCTCTTCCGACCGCGTTTTCTTTGCTTTTTCCATCGTCGAGTAACACGTCTGAAATGCGCTCAAGTGTCTTCGTGCTTCATATGTTGTTGTTGATGTGTGTGAGACGTCGTTGCCGTAAAGCATGTCGTGATTCTCGCGAGATTTGTCGGGGGCGCTCCTCTCAAACTTGCATTGCTGGTTTTTCCAGCGGCATCCCCCCCAAGCTTTACTACCAGGATGATTCGCCCTACTATGAGTTTGTTTACCACCGAGATGACTTTGAAGCTGTTATATTTAGGTACAATTCTTGCATAGTGTGCCTTTAAGACATTACCGACTGTGTTTACGAGGATATTTCGACATATTTTTGTTCGTTCAAGTGCAAAAAAACCCCCAGCATGTTTCTTTCTTGTGCTTGAATGGTTTAAAATCACTTTAAAATCCCCTTTTCTGTGCGCGCACTTTGTGTGTGCAGCACAGGAAACAGCGTGCAGTTCCTCTTGCGCTTGAATGCACACAAAAGAATCGATAAGAGGAATCACATTTTTTATTTTATACCAAGTAACCGATTCCTGACCTGACCTGATTTTCACAGAATCAATTTTCGATTCCCAACCCTATTAGAGATGCACTGATACTAAACTTCTCCCCCGATACCGATAGCCAATAATACAGGATGATACCGATTATTGTCTGATATATAAGTGCATCTCTAAAATAGATATACATTTAATACTAATAAAAGTAAACATTTGGATTTGTAAAACATGGTAAATAATCCTCTCTGATGGTAATAGTGTATTTGCAGAGTGAATGTTAGTATTGCTGAACATGTGATGCCAGGACACTTGTTGTGGATTTGTAAAGCTTCCGGTAGCATTGCTTCTATATAAATCAGCTTTTGAGTATCGAGCCACAGAATACCTTTATGGTCAAAAGATGGAGATATCAAATAGTAATATGATCAGAATATGGAGTGCAGCATTAAAATTTGACCGTACTGGTCGGTCACAGGGTGTTTGTTCGGGCTTTAACTCAATGCTCATGCAGACATTGAACGCCGATCCATCTCTGCTTTATATCTCTGACAGCAACACAGTGCTGTGCCAAAGCTTTTTATCTTTGAAGAGTCAAAAAACTGCTCTGAGATATTACTTATTGTTCACTCCCACACACACACACACAAGCGCGTTTCTCTCTCTCCACGCTCTGTCTGTCTCACACATACAGCCTACGGTCTCATCAATCTTTGAGAACAAGAGCCTCCAACCCAAAAGTGTGAGAAAAACAGAACAAGAGGGGAGGGGGGAAGCACTAAAACCGGGTCTGTGGGTGTGAAGGAAGGTTATATATTCACTAGCCTGATTTATAATTGCGTTTATGGGTTTCGGAGGAACTAGTTTGTGCAAAGCATCACTTTAATAGCATTTTGGGTTTGTAACTGTGTATTTTTGGGTGAATACGTGCTGTTTGTTTCTAAATCAAAGATCTGGTATGAGCTTTTGCAATGAGCTATTTTTTTTATTTGCTTGTGTAGTTTTATATTACACTATTTGTTATTCTTTTATGTTTTCCAGTATGCTGTACCATTATAATTCTTCGCAAAATGTCTGACAGTATCAGATGTGTTTTCCTTCCACAGTTGGCACTATTAAAGCACTACTTTATGAGAACTAAACTATAATGTGAATACAGTCACAGCTAAAGGTTGCTGCATGACACACAAGCTCTTTATATGGAATTGGATGTATACGTTTGTCCAGCTTTACTGTCCTGCACACATACATTTATACTTGCGTTGGGTAATATCTATAACACATCTCAAATGAATGATTGCTTGTAAATGTAAACTATAGCTAACTATAACTACACCAGCTCTAATCTGCTAAATGCAACTATAAGACATTAAGATATTATAAACATTAACCACAATTTACTTTAAAGCTGCTTTGAAACAATATGTATTTTCTGAAAAGCACTATACAAATAAATTTGACTTGACTATATTCATAATATAAGATGGCCTTTGAGGAATAAAGTTGTAAAGTTGAATAACAAATAGTCATTAAATTGTTTTTTTATGAAGCAAATTCGTTTAAGTACAATACTTTCTGGTATCAGTTATTTAAAAAAAAATTTATTCAGGTGATATTGGATATTTAATTGCATGTACTCCTTTCCCTGTTTAACATTTAGATTACTGTTGTTAATCTTTTAAAAACAATAATAATTTTCGAACATAATCTTTTGCGAGTCTCAAGATGAATACAAATTTTCATGCAGTACATTTATTGCCTAAATGCACTGGTAGCATATTTCAAATAAATATTTTAGTTTTTGTTTTGTTTTTAATGCATTTATACACAATAGAAATAAATTTAATTGTCGGCTATATAGCAATAATGGTAAATTGAAATTCTGCCGCATGAAGATCTAGACATGTAAACTAAGATTAATAGTATGTGAACACTGAATAGGTTTTTCATATCATAGATGTAATTCTATTCATTTTTTTAGTTGCTTGTTTTAGCATGTACTCTGTATTCACCATCCAGCTATCCAGATTTTGTGTTTCAATGTCATTAATGGCCAAATAAAAGAGAGGCTGCTCACTGCAGAACCAATGGGTGGAGCTTGAAGGTCTAGCCACACCCTAACCCTACTATTCGCTCGGGTCACATGACGTCACTGTAGCTTTGCGCCGCCATCTTTACGACCGACGGTCTCAGTAATGCCTGGAATATTTTGTGCAGTGGGCTGCACAAACAGCCGAAAGAGGAACCCCGAACTGGTATTTTATTCAATACCAAAAGGAAAGGATAGAAGAAAGAAGTGGTTAGCTGTCATTCGAAGAGAAGAGCTGCATGTCTCATATTGTATCATGTCTCATCTTTCTCTGTGCACACACCCGACCCGAAGCGTGCAGCCATAGACCCCTATACAGCGCGCGAGTAATGAATTGAGCTCTGTTTCGTGTCTGAATGGACAAATACACACAACATTATGTTTAAATGTCCGCTTTGGAGAGTATTCACGTAAAATATGTCGGTTACGTCTTAAACAGAGTCGTCATCCAGTCTCTCTGGTAGAGAGAGAGAGTGAGAGACGAGGAAAACAAACAAGCATGCAAATGGAAATTATCGCGGCCGGAAAAATTATCGAGCTCATGTTTTTTATCGTGCGATTAATTGATTTATTGACTATCGCGACAGGCCTAATCCAGATTAACGACAGCTAGCCGTGAGCCGTGGCTAACAGCTGGCAAGCTACCAGCTGTTAGCCACTTAGCTAGCTAACAACTCGCTACCTAGTCAGAGCAAACGACCACCAAAATCATAAATATATATTTTTTTATAATACCTACATTTCCCATGATTAAATATAAATCCTTGGTGGCCAGGTGCCACCCTTTTACGTCTTTTACCCATCCAGCCACAGCATATTGATATGCATCGGTACTCTTGAAAGCCTTTAAGCGATCCCCCACTGTATGGGGAGGGCCCGGGGTTATGCACAAAATATATACATATATATATATATATCATGGAAGGCAAATTGGGGCAAGTCTGGGGCAGATAATAATGGACAAAAGAAAACGGGGGTTAACAAATAAGGATCGGAGCCTAAAATGAAAATTTTCTCCAGGTATCTCTGTCTCTCTCTTTCATTCAAATGGGCAGTTTGGGCGGCCATACCGGGCGAGATCGGTCGCAAATATGGCGGCGTTCTATTTGGTAGTGACGTAGGTGGCATCTATGAATAACCGAACCTGAACATAATTAGGTCCACAGAGGTCCCATTAGGTCCACAGAGGTGCAGCTCCACCCATTACACCCAGAGAGGGAGAGCTGGATGTCATTTGGCTCCACATGAAACAAAAGAGATGCTTGTGAAACTAGGACTAGTGATTTTGAACTTCTCATCGAGAACTGGCAAAGCTATTTGCTGAGAAACTTCTTACAAACGCACCAGTTAAAGCATATGCAGCATGCAGCTCTGGGATGCCAACTGCTAATTGCCAATTTGTCATTTAGCCCAAACTTTAATGTAAAACCGCTTGCAGGATATTTATTGCAGGAACAATCTCTTGCAACCTGGGGTTACGTTTCTGGCCACGGGAGTTCATAAAACATCCTATAACATTTGTAACCGGCCCAGATCTTTAAACACAATGCCATGTAACCCGATAGCTAAACGGGTCAAAAACGATAGCACACTTCTGTAATGCCTTGCATGAGCCACACAACATCACCAAACACGATTTTCACACTTTAACAAAGGCCTGAGAAACGATTAGGCTTGGAATCGGCGCACAGGCCATCGTCAGGAACATCTCACGCTCATTTCCAGCTGCCCTCATTCATCCAGCGCAGTCTGCAGTGTTTTAACCTCCACCCGTTATCAGAAGCCCCCCTGCGCCCTCCATTACGAGCCCCGCCGGAGCACTTCATGTCTGGATGAGTGGGAAATTATTTGGCCTCGCTTATCTTCCCCTTGTGCCGCTGTGAGTGTTAGTGACCTGGCTTCAACTCCACAGATGTCCGACTAGTAAATGAATGCTTGGCATGAACTGTTCTTTTTTTATTCTTTCTTTCCCATATATATTATTTTACTATACAGTAAAAGGAAGTGTTTTGTCTTCATTCAAATCTATTTTTTGATTTAATTCGTTGAAGCTTAATTCGAATGAAAGACTTTAAAAAAAAATTACTGATCCTGATGATGGACTTAATATTTAGATGAAGAATTTGGGTGTGAAGAATTTCATTGTAATAACTTCTTTCTGTGAACACAGAAATAGGACGCAAGTTTTTCCTCAAGCGGTGTATATTTGCATTTGTGTATGACGGCTCGGCCTTGAGGTTTGTTTTTCTGTGTCTAAAGCAACATGGTTATAAAGCGGTTGCCTGCAGCTATGTGCTCGTGGGTTTTTACTGCAGGCATAAATTAACCAGATATCCTCCACTATCTGCATTTTAAAGAATATCGGAAATGAATCATGTATGTCCTATAGAAGGAAGTTACACTTATATTCATTACCAAATACTAAGAAATGCAAAATATACATGCAAATGTTTCAGTTCGACTTTTCCCATAGGGAAATTAAACATTTACGTGCTGTATATCTTTTAAAAATCCATCTTTCTTTCTTTATACGCTCACCAGCCACTTCATTAGTTACACCAGCTCAACCACTCGTTAACACAAATATGTAATCAGCCAATCACATGGCAGCAACTCAATGCATTTAGGCATGTAGACATGGTCAAGATAATCTGCTGAAGTCCAAACTGAGCCTCAGAATGGGAAAGAAAGGTGACTTTGAACATGGCATGGTTGTTGGTACCATACGGGCTGGTCTGAGTATTTCAGAAACGGCTGATCTACTGGGATTTTCACACACAACCATCTCTAGATTTTACAGAGAATGGTCCGAAAAAGAGAAAATATCCAGTGAGCGTCAGTTCTGTGTCTGAAAATGTTGATGTCAGTAACTCAATATATGTAGCTAAAATTGTACATGTAGCCTGTAATTGTTTTTACTCACCCTAGTGTCTCCTTCAGGAGCGAGGGGGTCCGTCATCCAGGATCCGAACCGAGACCCGGATGTTTTAATAGTGTTTGCATCACTAATGCCGGTCAGCTTACCACAAGCTGCAATACAAACAACACACGTTTAATTACACGCATACACTCACGCTCACACACACTTTCTAACCAGAAGCCTACAGTCACACACATGTTTAATGAGTTTAGTAATGTTATGATGAGTCTGATACAGTCTTAATTACTGTGGTAATCTTATATCTTGGAGTGAAGGTTCTGGTTAAATGACTTTAATTGAGTCACACTGAGCTTCATTATGATCTTTCACGACGAAGAGTGAGAGAAACATTGAACATATTTGAAACATGAAATGGCAATCCCATCCCATATACATTTGTGTGAAAGATTATCAAGACAAATTTGCTTTAGAACGACTTACAACGTTTAGTTGCTCACAATAAGATACGTGTATTAAGAAATCGAATAGTCTTTTTTGCTGTTCATGTTGACATCCAGTAACACAAAGGGGTTGAGCTGGTGAATGTAGCTTCATAGATAATATCGAGGGCTTGGAACCAGAGGGGCGTAAGTGGCATTTTGGGCGAAAATGAGTTCTATATATCAAATTAAAGGTCTTGATGAGCTCTATCTAGTTGTGCCAAAAAGACCTATCTGAGATCAAACTGTATTGAATAAAGCAACAAAACAATACAGACCTAACACAAAAGTGTGAGTAATGTTTGGAGCCAGAAGGGCGTAAGTCCACTTACGCCCTTCTGGCTCTGAAAAATACATGTAGGACCCACATTTTTGTTCAGAGCCAGAAGGGCGTAAGTGTAGTTGGTGCCCTAAAACTGCATTCAAAATGGCTGACACAACTGCAGACATGGAACTGTCTGAGGCAGAAACGATTTTGATGAATATTATGAAACAAACTGATGAATCCTACACTCACCTAAAGGATTATTAGGAACACCTGTTCAATTTCTCATTAATGCAATTATCTAATCAACCAATTACATGGCAGTTGCTTCAATGCATTTAGGGGTGTGGTCCTGGTCAAGACAATCTCCTGAACTCCAAACTGAATGTCAGAATGGGAAAGAAAGGTGATTTAAGCAATTTTGAGCGTGGCATGGTTGTTGGTGCCAGACGGGCCGGTCTGAGTAGTTCACAATCTGCTCAGTTACTGGGATTTTCACGCACAACCATTTCTAGGGTTTACAAAGAATGGTGTGAAAAGGGAAAAACATCCAGTATGCGGCAGTCCTGTGGGCGAAAATACCTTGTTGATGCTAGAGGTCAGAGGAGAATGGGCCGACTGATTCAAGCTGATAGAAGAGCAACTTTGACTGAAATAACCACTTGTTACAACCGAGGTATGCAGGCAAAGCATTTGTGAAGCCACAACACGCACAACCTTGAGGCGGATGGGCTACAACAGCAGAAGACCCCACCGGGTACCACTCATCTCCACTACAAATAGGAAAAAGAGGCTACAATTTGCAAGATCTCACCAAAATTGGACAGTTGAAGACTGGAAAAATGTTGCCTGGTCTGATGAGTCTCGATTTCTGTTGAGACATTCAGATTGTAGAGTCAGAATTTGGCGTAAACAGAATGAGAACATGGATCCATCATGCCTTGTTACCACTGTGCAGGCTGGTGGTGGTGGTGTAATGGTGTGGGGGATGTTTTCTTGGCACACTTTAGGCCCCTTAGTGCCAATTGGGCATCGTTTAAATGCCACGGCCTTCCTGAGCATTGTTTCTGACCATGTCCATCCCTTTATGGCCACCATGTACCCATCCTCTGATGGCTACTTCCAGCAGGATAATGCACCATGTCACAAAGCTCGAATCATTTCAAATTGGTTTCTTGAACATGACAATGAGTTCACTGTACTAAAATGGCCCCCACAGTCACCAGATCTCAACCCAATAGAGCATCTTTGGGATGTGGTGGAACGGGAGCTTCGTGCCCTGGATGTGCATCCCACAAATCTCCATCAACTGCAAGATGCTATCCTATCAATATGGGCCAACATTTCTAAAGAATGCTTTCAGCACCATGTTGAATCAATGCCACGTAGAATTAAGGCAGTTCTGAAGGCGAAAGGGGGTCAAACACAGTATTAGGATGGTGTTCCTAATAATCCTTTAGGTGAGTGTATATTGAAGAAGTTGAAGATGAGTCAGAGTTGTTTGAATGCATTTCCTCACAAGAGTGATGACAGTAAGACATAATCATGCCTTGAGAGCCTTACCTTGTTAGCCTAGCCTAGCATGGCTAACGTTAATCCCATTGGTTTGGTCTGATCTGGCTAACTGTGCCTGTGTTCTGACAGAGAATATTCTTTTGAACTTTCTCATAATCTACTTTACCCTAGCCTTAAACTAATAGATTCAGGGCACTCATGTAGGATATTATATTAATAAATATTAATGTGTTAATCATTAAGGGACACAGCCACATGAGGTGAGAAAGAGAGATCAACTTGAGGGACACATGGAGATGGATGGAGGAGGTGAGTTCTGACTTGCATAGAAAATAAGTTAGAACATTACCTTATCTAATCCTTACCCCGAATTATTAGTATCAGGGCATTCATGTAGGATATTAATAAATATTAATTATATAATTTAGGGACACAGCATGAGATGAGGGAGAGAGATGAGGGACACATGGAGACAGCAGAAGATGGGGAAAGAGAGACAGGCAGGGACACAGATCATGCAATTGATGAGGGACACATGGAGACAGAAGAAGATCGAGGGACTGAGACAGTAGACATTGAGCCTGTTTAGGAGGGAGGGGTTGAAAGTGGCCAGGAAGAGGATGCCAACACACCACAAAAAGGAAGAAAAAGACAGAGAGATGTTGAAAATTGGAAAAGAAACCAACGTAAAAGGTTAAGAAATTCTGGCCAAGGCTACATTAATTCACATGGCATTCATGTTCCAGGAAGGAAGGTGAGGGAAAAGAACTAAAAAGCAAAAAGAACACGAGAGAACTGTCAATTAAATAGAGTATTGAAAAAAAAAGAATTGTAATGAAATCAATTGAACAACTCATGAATTGCCAATCAGAAGTGTGTTTAGCAAGTTCAGTGACTTTAATTACAGTCTGTAGTGTTCAGCAGATGCCAAGAATGGAAAGGTAAAAAAAAAAAAAAAATAATAATAATAATAATGAATGAGTTAAATGAAAAATAATTACTTGTTCAAGTGTGATTCAAGTGTTAATTATTCAATCAATTCCCCTTTTGATCAATTATTTTCTGCATTGTTCAGCAGATACGCCCAATATGTCCATAGAAGACTTAGAAATGTTTGGTGCCAAAAAGGCGTATCTGACGTTTTTGACATATTTTTTTATTTTAAAATGTTTTAGAACATGTTCATTGTGTTAATATGCCATACATTTTTTACTTAAATACTCATTCATGTAAGTATGCCTGTGGTTGCAATTTTTGTGGTTTAAGGTTAATGATACAGGTGATTGAAGTGTGGTCAAAATTTTGTTTTGTCTCTCCTGTAAAGTTTGTCAAAAGCCACTTACGCCCCTCTGGCTCCAAGCCCTCGATATATACATATGTTTTTTTGTTTCTGTGACAGAGAGAGAGAATAATGTACAGGTAAAACGTAAGATAAATGTCAAAAATGATGGTGTTTGACATCCTGTGTTGTTGATAGTGCAGTGTATTAATCATGGTGTATTTCCCTGCTTAGCCTCTCCCATTCAACACACACACACACATGCTTGAGATTAACACACTGAGCTGTAATCTGTTGTCTAGAGGGACACGCAGGGCTAAATTATTACGCTACTATCTTTAGAATAAAGCCCTGATTCACTCCAACTGCAGAAAAATACACAATCGTCTTACGCAATCTTCTTACACAATATAATGGAACAATGTGCATGATTATTGATTCATTTTTGTCAAATAGAAAACATGCATTTTACGTGTGAGCGCATGTGGGAGTGTTTTTTTTAATTCATGTGTTTTTGATTAATCTCATGTGATTGAGTCAAAATGGAATTTGAGGATATATATTTGAACATGTCAAATCAGACGTGAACTATATTTGTACGTTTCTGATGTAAATGTTAGTGATTGCGTTCACTTAAAGTAACAGTAATGCATCTCTCCTCTACCGAATACAAGTTCGTTCATGTCACGTGTCCTTTGGTTTCCCTGTGATATTGGTTTTATATTCATCAGAAGCGATACACATGGATGAAGCTCAAGTGTGTGTGAAACAGAGAAATAAATCAGAGTTGTTTTAAGGCCATATTGATCGTACAGTGAAACTGGCCCAGATCTCTCTTCCAGAAACTCGGAGAGAAGAGAGAAAGATGATATTCACCAGAGAAAAGATGCCGATGTGTGTGTATGCTGGGAAGTGGAGCTGTGATAATGAATGCATAATTTCACTCTTTTATAGCTCAAGAGACTTGTCGAGAGTTCTCTGTTGTGCTTCATTTAAGTATCCGCTTTGTCTCCGACTCAAATGTGAGACTAAGAGAAAAAAATATGTTCTAAGAACGTTTGGCTAACGTTAACATTAAGTTATAAAACGTTATTTCTGAATGCTCCAAATGTCCAGTTTTTACAACTGTTCCGTTTTATCACTCTACAAACATTATGTGGTAACGTTAGCTGTAAACCTGTTGAAATCCCAATATTTTTTACAGTCATGTAAAATTGGATTTAACTTTACACAGTATTTTTTACCTGATCTCATGAGAAAACAACCATTTCACAAGGTGGTAATCTGGTGGTATGAATGTAATGATGATTTTTGAATCATCAAAAACAAAGTATGCACGAAGGTTCACCCTTAAACATAAACATCTCCCGTAAACACGTACAAATGAGATGATACAAATTAGTGCTGAGAACAGGCGCGCTCAACTCCCAAAACGTTTATGGGTGCGAGTTATAAAGAAGTTTATCAAATAAAGATGAAAAACCGCACTCTCTAGTTATATCTCATATCTTTTTTATTATTACCATGTCCACATAAACGCGTTTCACACTGATGATGGCTTAGGCTGAAACGCGTCTATGTGGACATGGTAATGGTAATAATAAAAAAGTTATGAGATATAACTAGAGCAGGGATGGGCAACTTCGGTCCTGGAGGGCCACTGTCCTACAGAGTTTAGCTCCAACCCTGAAAAAATCACCTGCCTGTAACTTTCTAGTAATCCTGAAGACCTTGATTAGCTTGTTCAGGTGTGTTTGATTAGGGTTGAAGCTAAACTCTGTAGGACAATGGCCCTCAAGGACCAAAGTTGCCCATCCCTGAACTAGAGAGTGTGGTTTTTCATCTTTATATGATAGAAATTAGCAACAAATGTGTCAAATATTTAAAAAAAGTGTAACTGGTGTAACCAGATCTTTTCCTGCCAGTGTTTTTTTTTTTTTTTTTTTTTTTGGCCAATCACTGCCAGCTTTTTTGATCATTTTCAAAAAACGTTCATGGTCCTCAGAATATTTTGTTGTATGAATATGTGAACATGCAATACATATCGAGTCCATCAACACCCCCAAAGCTTTTTACTCTATAGCTTTGTTCTAAGTGACGTGGGCGTCGCAACTAAAAAGGTCCCGGTCTGGTTGGGGAATTACAGATGGCCCAGCTCGGCGATCTCATTTCGTATTTTTATTGACATCTTATCTCCTGAACTGCCATTTTCTTTAGCATACTATTCAGCGTAAATCCTGCCCCGCAATCAGTTTCATTGGTTAAGGCACAGACAATTTATATAGAGACATGCCACTTCCTCAATCCTCAATACAACTATATATAGGGAAAACCCGTAACGCCAAAGATGGCGGTTGTATGCACATGCCCCGCCCCCCGCTGGAAAGCCAATCGTCTGCTTTTAACAGTCAAGCCGGGAAACATGTAAGCCTATCGTCTGGTTCCACTGACACATCAGCACTTTGAATGACATGACCAATTCAATCTTTAGAATCGGGGGGGAGGGGGGGGGGGTCTGTCTGTCAGTCAATAGGAGGAAGCCACACCCTATTTTGAGCTCCCACCCCGTTTTGGTGATGGGGGTTAAATTAAAGTAAAACATTTTGTGATGATCAACATTATGCCATAAATGTTGTAGATTTAGCTTATTGTGTACACTCAGAATTGCAGAACGATGTTAATCCAGGATCATGTCCTGCTTGCTTAGACCATGTGTTGAGTAAACATTAGTATATTAGTATATTAGTATAGTGTATGTGTGTGTCTTACCGAGCTTCTGCATGCATGCGCGTAGCCGCTCCTCCAGACTAACCACGCGGGAGTGCAGGTCATCGTAGTCGTAGGCTCCCATCTCCTGCTGGAGGAGGCCGAGGCTGGCCGTCAAGTTCTGCACCTCCTCCTTAAACTGCTGAACCAGCCGGGCGTCAGCCTTGTACTCCTCCAGCACGGGGATTAGCGGACGCAGCTCCGCCATTTTTGCCTTTATGGCCTGCAAATACGTAATGTGGGGAAAGTTGGAAAGTCTGGCTTGCTTGTACACTGTGAAGCCTGTCTGAACCCTTGCTGTCTACAGTGGTTTCAACTGTCTTGATGTTGAACAGTGTTGTACGTGAAGGTGTGTGCATCAATCTGTGTGTTCGTTCATCTGGAAACTCTTAAAAGTAAATGTTTACAGCAAATTAGGTTTTTTTTATAGAACACTATATATGCCCCAAAGTACATGGACACCTACACACACCACACCAATATGTTTTCATTTCAGAACCATTAGCATTTATAATGAGTTAGTCATTCTTTTGCCTGTATAACAGCTTTGAATCAATCCTCTGGGAAGGTTTTTCTAGATTCTGGGATGTGGATACGGTGATTTGCTCCTGAGCATCAGTGAGGTCAGGTACGGTTGGGTGAACGCGAAAGATCTTCTTGTGCAAGTTTCGTCCATGTCAGACAACTAGATAAATAAAAAGGTTTGAACCTCGCTAGAGCAAAAACGAACCCTTCTTCTAGATGCTTGTAAAAAAGAAGTGTGCTTCAAATTTTAACATAACATTTTTTTAAGATATGCAGACATGTTTCTTAACACACTTTGAACTTTGTAATACTGTCAAAAGTTTGACTTTTTATATTTGACTTTTTAAATCATTCTGTTTTAATAATCTTTTGTTGCGTTTTAAAGAAGGACTTGTTTTGATGTGTTGCATACTAAAGCACATGTAAAGTACTTGATTACAGATAACGTGTTATTTGATATTACTCTTAAGGTGATTTTTTTTAATGTACAAAATTGCAATTTCCTCATTACAAATGACTTGCAAGATTCAATGGAAATTTCAGTATCTTTTAGTTTACCAGTGCTTGTCAGTACATTCGGCAGATTTCTTTAAGCATATTTCAAATACTATAGAAATAATTATGAAATTACATATGAAGACTTTGGGTTTAAATTTAAACGTAATACGTTTTCATTTAATTGCAATTAACATGTAATTCAGTGTCCAAACACATTACATTCAGTCCACACTTAAGTATATTCCTTTAAAGGTGTATTATTTCCATAATATACTCTTTTTTAAAGCATGCTAAAGTATTCTTTTTTTTATATATGTTAGTGATGTTGTAGATGAAAATCCTTTAACTAGATGTCCACATACTTTTGGCCATGTAGTGTA